GAAAAGAACTAAATTAACTTAATTTTAAATCAAGAATGAATTTATTTTAATCTTTTTTCTTGATATTTTAATGAAACAAATTAATTTTTAAATGTTTTTCCTCTGAATTATTTTAAATTTCAGTTAATACATATTACTATTATATTTTTATATTATTATTTTTTAATTAATAAAAATCAGAATACATTTAAAAAGTATATTAAGAACAAATTCACATTTCCATCATGCATGTTTTTAACACATCAAATTAAGGTGAAAATGTTTCAGCCACACTAACATAACAATTAATAGTTATATTGAATAACTGACATTGTCTGTGAGTTTAAATTAAAATATAATGTCAAAGCAAGCTTTAACATTAATGATATAACAATAGACAGAGAGCACATCTAAATCTAAAGGGAAGAAAAAAAAAAAGCACAGGAGACCACGCAACACGCGAAATTGAGGTTTTAGTACACTGGAAAAAGTGACGATATTTAACTGCAGATACATTGAAGTAGGATTGGCGAACTTGTTCAAAGATGAAATCTGAAAACAGGTGGAAACTGTGCTTTCTGCCATCAAAAAATTCGGAAAGTTAAAATCTTAATAAGAGGTAGATGGTGTTTTAGAAAAATGTGGATATATAAACAAACAAAGACAACAGCATTTAAAGGGACCAGCGAAATAATTGTGCTATCCACAAGTTTAACAGAAGCAAAATAGCAAATTAGCATAGCTCCAATGGACCAGAAGAGGAAATAAAAGCACAAGACCAACTTGATAGTCAAGAATCCAGATAGGAAATCTTCCTCGGTAAGACTCGATTTGTGGATATCCAAAAACAACAGCACTGAAAGAGACGCACAAAGGACAGAAATTGGATCCCAGTCTAAGAGTGGCTTAAAAGATGATCTTTTAGAGAAGACGGGGAGGCCATCCCGATCACTGTTACCACCAGGAACAGTAATAGTTGCAGCAAACATGGTGACAATGATTAGAGTGCTTATAATTGCGGCAAAATTTACTGTATTTTTCACCCATGTTTGAGTTTCTTTAAGTAAACCTTGATGTTCCCTACTAAAAACTTCTGAAGGAGTTTCACCATCTTTATTTCTTTGTTTTCTATAAAAACTTAGAACAGTGCGTTCAATCTCCTAAAATAATTAATTTGTTAAGCGAGAAATGGATCATTGAAAAGGACTAACCATATTTGAATCCTTATATAAACCATATAGAGATAAATGTTTATTAGTGTATTTTTAAAAATTAAATTAAATTAAATTAAATTAGGAAGAACATTATCCAAAAAAATCCCTTATACAAAAAGATTAAAACAACTTATTTTTAAAATATAAATTAAACTATATATTTTTTACCCTTATGTAATTTTAAAATAATTTTTCTTTTAATTTTTAATGGGTTGCACCAGCTGATATATATATTGAGATCATAGAAGTTTTTTATAAAAGGATTACCTTAAACCAGGTTGCTTCGCTTTTCATTTGAAGAAAAGGATCAGAGAAATGATGAATATGGGGAAAGCTGGGAGCTGACTTTGCAGCCAGATGTAAAATGTTGTTTTGGTCGTCATCTGACATGTTCCTCCACACATTGAGCCCATAAAGAAACTTGGCAATTTCCTTTTGACGATGTGCTACAGCATACATTAACATATCTCTTGAGCGTTCGGGACCAAGGTTCCAAACTATATCAGGATTAGCTTCTGTAATTTGTTTTACAAAGTCAAGGTCGCCAAGCTTGATAGCCTTGAAGGTGGCTTCCACTGCTCCACTTCTCATAAATTGGTCTCTTTCTAAAGTTGACAGTTGCTCACATATGAAAAGTACCATCTCACGGGCATACTTTAGATGATCATCTGCTACCGATCGACCTAGTTAAGAGCAAAAATTGTATACAAGGAAATTTATCTGTAACAGAATCAAATTGATTAAGAAACCCGAATTTAAGATAGATCATATCTGATGCAACATATATATATATATATATATTTATTTATTTATTGAACATTGGGAAACCAGGGGAAGAGGGACTACGTCACAAGGATTTCAACCATGGTGGTATCCAAGGTCTTTAGATGCACCCTATCATTGCAGCCACCGCTGCAGGTGCTATATATATATTGAATTTGAACTTTTAGACCTTTGACCATGGAATTACTAGACTTTTGAAAGTTAGTGGTTATCAAACTTTTACAGCAAAATAATACAGTAAAAATAAAAATATATCAACAGAGAAATTCAATTGAAAATATTGAAACTGATGAAAAAAAAGAGAAAATATTGTAAATTAAGAGAAAAGAGAAGCATACTCACAAAGTAAAAG